AGGGGGGGGGGGGGCGGGGGGGGGCCCGGGGGCCCCGCCCCGCCGGAACCGGGCCGGCGCGGGGGGGAAGGGGGCTGCTGAGCTTCGGTAGTGAGGAGGAGCGGGACGGTAAGGGCTCGGCGGCGTCCCGCCGGGCGGAGCAGCCGGGCTGGGCCGTGCTGCTGTTCTGGGCAGGGCTGTGGTGAGGGTCTGCCAGAGAAAGGCGGGTAAAGGCACTTCGGACGTGAGAAACGGCCGTGTGCTCCTGCTGGGCAGCTTCTGAAACCTGCTTGGAGCCGGAGGAAACCGGAGGAAGCAAGGAGACAGCGCGTGATTCCGTGGCGAGCGCAGTTAATGATGAACAAGCTTCAGTAACCGAAACTTGAATGTCTAATGGCGTCCTCTGGGCTGTTGCTTTTGTGGCTGATGACACAAGAGGGGTCAGGGCAGCTGACAGGAGTCGCTCTGATGGGCACAGGCTGCAAAGAAACAGTACAGTCCAACACTACGGCGTTGCTGTATTGAGGAGGCTGAGCTGCACAGGTTTAAATTAAGAGGTGGTGGATCTCGAGTGATTAAGCCATAGAACTAGTTAGTCTTAATGCAGCCAGAACTTAAAAAAATATGCTGTGCACACATAGAGATGACCTGTACTTTTATATATATATATATATATGTACATATACTGTTTGCTTTGTTAATGTTCCTCAGTATAGTTTTGTTTTATCTGGACAGGTGATGAACAATTTTTTAAAATTAAAAAACCGTCTTTCAATGAAGTAACCTTTAGAATTCCAAAGAAGGAAAGCCTGCTGCCTGCACAGACAGAAATTGAAGAAAGCAAAAGTAAGTACTTCTTTCAGTTAAATATTTTACAGAATATTTATATGAAAATATATTACAAAATCAGTAAGCGGAGAGTGATGTACAAACACTGCTGTTAGATGTTTTTCACTTGTTAATTGAACCCAGGATTATACTTATAACGCCACTTTACAGGTTTATAGTTTTAATCTATTTGTGCTGAAGTTATTTTCCATATGACCTTGATAAAACAGTATCAGAACTTGGAGGCTGTTCTTGAGAAGACCTGGTTATGCAGAACCCCTGTAGTACATCAGAGTTTATTATAAACTTCTGATAAATTTATACCTCAGCATTGTATCTTTGAAACTGTGTGGCAACTATGCACTGCTTATTGCTGTCAGAGTGCAGTTTGATCTGAGTATTTTCATTGAGAGAAAATATGAGGTTAGTAGGATTTTGTTTGATAAAACTTAATGTAAACCTTAAACTTTGTGTTATTAAACTGTGTAATATTACAGTGTTTGAATATTTTAGGTGAATACAGTTGATAGCCTTGATTGTTCTGGTAGTATTCCTAGTCTCATTGAATTATAGTAAGTTTCCTGTTGGGATATTTGGGGTTTGTGTGTTTTACAAACAAGTGTCTAAAAGTTCTCTTCCCCTCTCTTCCCCTTTTGACACCTCTGTCAATTCGCAGATATACCCTAATTGCTACTGTTAGATAAAAATAAATCAGATTGAGAAATAATTCCCTTGGAGATTGTGATTCAGATGAGATGGTAAATTTTCTTACTAACTTCATATAAAACTATACTTCATGCTCTTATAAAAAGTGGCACATTCTGTTGTTCACTAATCTGATGATTTACTGAAGATGCAGCAGCAGATGAAAAGAAATGAATGTTTTTAAAGAATTCAAAGATAATTGGAGACAAGACAGACATAGATAAACCTTTATAGTTTAAATAAGGACTCCCTTGTTGTTAATGCTAAAAAAAAAAAAAAAAGGCACTTTCTAAATACAGTTTATAAAGTCCAGGGAGATGAATCCAAACTGCTGTGAGCTATCAGGATATTAATCAGTTGTCATCTGGGAGCTGATATCATTGCTTTTGTGCATGAAAGTGTGCTCTGTGTCTCAGAAGGGCATATTAGTTTAGGGCTATCACAGATGCTTTGATGCGAGACAAGAACTGGCTTGTAAATGACTGTCTTGGAGTGTCGGAAGATTTGACATGTTTTGATGAGGACAGGTGGAGATAGATAAGTGACCAGTCTTTGCTGCAGCAAGGTGTAAATAGTTACCGGTAACCAGTTACAGTGCATCAGCTTCCAGCAGCTGAAGCTGAAATCATGAATCTTACTTTTTTTTCCCCTAAAACAGAAATCTGTGAGTTGGAGCCTAGAACTGGCAACACCAAAGGCACTCGTGAAGAAGAGGAGGAGGAGGATGAAAGTTATTCTTCACTAAGTGAGGACTACAACAGCTCAGACTCTGAAAATGAATCCGGCTCTCCACAGAGGAGGAAGGATTTATCACCAGGTTAGTTTCCTGTTTGTGGGTTTTTTTTTTTGTTATTTTTTGTTCTTGTTTATTCTTTGTTTGAAGTATGTGACAGAGATGTGAGATGAATCCCACTCGGATTAAATCCTGTAAGGTTTAGGCATCGTGTTTGTGCTGAGTCGGGGCTACCCTTCTGAAAGAATAGTGACAGTTCTCCAGTATTTTTGGTTGCAGATGTTTGTTGTATTTCTGTGTTAATTTTGGAAATGGGTCAGAAATTATGATCATTGGTTTCGAAGGAAAGGTAGCAAAAACCATCCTGTTTAACGATGCATAATTGCCTTCATGAGATGAAAATTTAAGCTCATTTGTGCTGTCTGATTTGTAAACTTTGGATTCCTTTGTAAACTCGTTAAGTTTAGTAACCCATATCTTTTGGAGAGATGGACAAAAAGGAGGACAGGTAAATGACTATTTGAAAGGAAAAAGTCTGAACTTTGTTTTTGGACTGAGAGCCGCTTTTTAAGGATGCTTTTCCATCTCCTTATATTCAACATGGTAAGCTTAACAGAAAAATACCTTGTGTCCTATATTCAGAATTGTACAGTGATCCTGAACAGTGGTAATTATTGACACAAGGAGCGATACAGAGTGTTGCTTTTAATCTTTTGCGTAGATTTTCTTTCTGTTCAATGCAGGTAATATCCCCAGTGCAGCTTGTATTGATGCTGCTCGGAGGAGACGTCACTTAGCCAGGACACGGGCTGATTATCTTCCACTGGATGTTTCAAACAGTCATCACGTCTCTCGGAGAAGAGAAAGCACTGATTTAGAGAGTGAAGATGAGACCGATATGAAGAATCTCAATTTTGTTCCTAAAATGAGAACTCTTCAGCAGAGGATGACTGAACACATGGGTGAGTTTGTGCCTGAGTTTGTACCGTTTCTCCCAGTGGTTGTGGCTCTGTTTTACTGATGTAGAAGATGGAAGAATGTGGGACTTGCCCAGTAAAGAGTGAGTGCAGTGCAAAGCTTTGCTGCTCAGGGGTCTTGGCAAAAGGCTGTACAGCTGGTGCTTGATGGGACATTAATCTGGTTTAGGTCTCTCTAATGTGGTGATGCAGGATGCTTTGAGAAACATTTAAAAAACGATTTTTGGCCTTATTGACTGCAGAAAATTGCCTTGTAGGAGGCACAGCATTTAATGTGAATAAAGTTGCTGTGGTGTAAGACAAACTGTCCGACTGAAGTTTTCTAAATCCTGCCTCCTGCTTCTGGTCCGGTCTTCCCAGTGCTCTCCCTGCATTGATGTTATGGCTGTTCTTGAGAAGGGAAAACGAGATGCAACAACTCAGCCCTTCAGAAGTAAACAAACCTCTTGCATGCAAAGCATATGTGGCTCTTCCATTGCTTTTTTCCTCTTACAGCTGCTTACAGTTTTGTTTATGAAGCACTGGTTTACCAGAGTTGTAGACTGGTTTTCTTTATTGTTTAAATAAGGGTTATAAAGAATGTGTAGCCATGAGCTGATTCTGCAATTCTAATTCATGCTAAAGAGATATTTTTGTATCTATAGTAGAGCATACATTTTAGAGCACTCCAGGATTTGCTGTGTATAATGTCACTGTGTTGTAGTCTAACTTATACTCTTATTTATATGTATTATACACAGCTTTGCTTTGAGACAGAAAAATTAGATGTTTGTGCTCCTCGTACTGCAGTAGTAGTTGTCTGAGAAACAGTATGTTGGGGAAATTAATATTGGTGTGAATTCTACAAGTCCCACTAGCCATTTCCAAGCCTTCTTTCCCGTTCAGTTTGAAAGTCCTCCATCTATGGTTTTTGACTCTGCTGGGTTTTGTGTGTATCACTTACCAGTAATGGTTGTGAGAACCATTGTTGCTTTAGAGGGAGGAGAACATGGGAGGGGAAAAATAGATAAAGGATGCAATTACATTTAATGATGATTGTTTTCACTTCCAGTGTCTGTGAGTAATGAGTCGAGTGAAGATGAAGCACAAATTAAGTGGGAAGAACAGCAAATAAAGAAAGCCGTTAAACTCTCCCAGGTGACACATCCTTTCCTAACCTTTGGAAGATGCTTTTTGCTCATTGGCAAGAGAGCTTGTGCTGGAGTACTGTCATATGTCCTACCTCCCCTCTCATTAGGAAGGTTTTTAGGAAGTTACACCCTAATTCTTCAGAGAAAAAGCAACTGGAAATAGGGGAAGATGATAATGAAAACCTGTAATCTCTGTCTGGCTGTTCAGAAGCAGGGTATTGTTGTCTACCTGTGTGTGATGGAAGACTGTGAAAAGCAGAGAACAAAATTCTGAACACTGACTTTTTTTTGCTGCCGTGCAAGGCATCTTGAAAGCAAGAGTAGGCAAATACTACAAATGTCAAAGTCACAAAGCAAAAATTATTCTTCTATTAAGCTAAATTTCTGTTGGGTGGTGATCTGAGAGCTCTCTTCACAGGTCAGCAGATTCTGTCTCTCTTTCTTTCTGGTAAATAATTGGCAAAAATAAACTCTGTATCTTCTGATGAGCTGGAAGTTTTTGTTTCTGGCTTGAATCACCTACTCTGGATCAGGCTAGGAAAATCTGAATAACCAGTTCTTTATTTCAGAATAGACAACTGTAGAAATTTCTGCCTGTTAAATGGAAGTAGTTAGAGGACTGGGAGAAAGTTACATCTTTCTGCTGCTGAATTTCAGATCCAGTATGATTGGTGTTCTTAGGTCCTCATACTCTACTGGTTTCCTGAACAGCAGAATTAAACAGTTTTCCAGAAAACTGCAACAATTTTTAGTAGCAGACCTTGTTAGTCATGGACTTGATTGCTTCAGCTGATTGTGTTTTGGCTAGATTTTAATATACAAACTTCTACTGTTTTAGAATGCAAAGTGTCTTAATTTATAAGCTAAAATTCAGTGGAATCTTTTTTTATTTGTTATTACAGTTAAGCTGAGTTGTCAGAATAAAAAAAATCTGTCTTTTGGCCACTAGCTTTGTCAGAAGGTAGCATTTGTATTTATTGGGGGGGGAGGAAATCAGAAAGTTTACTGTGAGAAAACAGAATATTAATTGACTAACAGATGGCAAATAATTTGTCATAAATACATTCAAATAGTTCTAAAAAAAAGCAAGATATGAGTAAAATCAAATATTATCATCACCACTTGGCTGTAGTTTATTTCTACATTTTATATTTAGCATCTTAATACTAGTGAAGTCTCAGCTGTCAGTATGCATTATTGAAAACTAGTAATGTTTTCAGACCAAGGCAGCAACTTAAGTGTACCCTAAATCGTCAATTACTTTGTGCTGTTTATATGTTTATGCACTATATGTTTTTATACAACATATATATGCAGTTTTTTTATACTTTGTTTCCCTTGCTTTTGTGTTATACTTTTCTATACAACATTTTCTGTAGTTAATTTGATGAATGAAATATGTGTCTTTATATCACATGCCTTGTGTATTCAAATGATACGTCTTGTTGATCTACAGAGCTGCAGGGGGAAAATTTGTGTAAATGGTGTGTTAAAAACTAACAGTTAAAATTCTTGTAGGAAACTTATGATGATGCTTCCCTGCGTAAATCTCAGCCAGCTAAACCAAAGTTTGATCCCTCTGTTTCTCTACCACCTGTGAACTTGGAAATTGTGAAGAAGCGACTGACCGAAAGGTAAATCCTGCTCTTATGAACTTCGCTTTTGAGTTGTCTGAGTTTTTGCCACAGATGAGAGATGACAGCTTTGAAGTCTTATTCTTTTTCCAGAGTATTGGAGGATTTTGGGGTTGTTACTTCATGTGTAATATGCCTGTTGCGATGTCCAATAGAGTACTAGAAATTTTTAACTTCAAGTGGCAATGCTTTGTTGTAGGGGGAGCATTTGGACTTTTCAAGAGTGTTTTATCAACTAGAACTTTAGAGAGTAAGTCCATTTAAATGGCAGCAGCTTTTTATGCTTGCTGGTAGTTTTTGACAGGAGCATTGGTTAAATGTTATGTTCGCCCAGCAAGCAAAACTTCAACCAAGGCAGATGGAGCTGGCAATCCTAGCCCTCTTACGGTGGTTCTTATTCCAGCTGCAAAAATAGCTCAGTATTTCCTAAAGCAGCAGTAAATTCTCTACAGCCTGTTTAGGCAAACTAGAACCTGCCTTGATTTTTTTTCTTTAGTCACGTGCCAGGCTGTGACTTGTCTTTAGTGGTTCAGCTTCTGTACGGGCAGCTGAAGTGTCCCGGGATGGAGGTGGGAACCTCCAAGAGGGGGTGTGAGAAGAACAGCTGGGGTCAGGCATCCTAAGGTAAGCCATCCCGTGTCATCTCTCAGAGCACCAGGAAGCAGCTGTTCAGATAAGTTTAGATGAGTAATGTTATACAGCTGAAACATAAATATGGACTACAGACTTGCACTGAGCTCTCTCTGTATATGCTTTGCTTTGTACACATCGTCACTCACTGGCTTGCAAAGAATTGCAACTAAATTGGAAAAAATATTTTTGTGGAATTGTATGCTTTCTTTGCCATAATCACCTGAAAGGAATGAGTTAAATGAAGTAGGAATTCAGGTGCAGAATCAAATAAGAAAAGTGACAGTAAGGCTATCAAGAACGGGAAACCTGTTCGGAAAATAGCAAGAAAGGGAGGGGGAACCTGTTTGATGTAAACTTTATAGGTGTGTTTAACATGCTAAATACTGAAATAGCATGATTTTTTTTTTAACTTGTAGCACAGTAGAGAACAATAGCTTAGTTCAGTTATTTTTATTGAAAAGTGTTCACTGCTTCAGGGAAGTGAAATAAGTTATGGTCTGTTTCTTGGTTCTGTTGCAGGCTTGCTCAAGCTGAGCAGTCGCTTGGGATACGTAAGGAGGGAAGCCGGGGAGGGGAAGAGGAAGCAGAGTTGTTATATATTTTAAAGTTCCTGTGCTACCTATCTAATATTTAATGACAGCTGTAGACAGAGGTTCCTGGGTTTCATCACCTACTAGCAGCAAGAGTCCTCAGTTGGTTTGTATTTAGTAGTGAGCACATGGTGAATGCTTATAGGTATTGCTATCCATGCAACTTACAATAAATCAGGATGGACACTCTGACATGACCTGTAGTTTTCCCCAGATTATGATGGGTGGAATCCATTTAACGTGATACCACAAAATTTGGCTTTTTATGGTTTTGGGAAGCGTGGTGTACTGAGGAATCTAGGTAAAATGCCAGTAGTGCTTTCAAAACTAGCACCACCAAGTGACGTTTGAGTTTCCAAAGCATGATGGTTGTCCATACTCCATGCTTCTGCAAATGTTGGCATGGATAAATCTTTCAATGCTTCTTAGCTCAAATGCAAGTACTATTATTAGCATAGGCAAATATTTTGTATGGGTTGTTGACACCAGTTGTCTGGGTGTCTCTTTTTTAGGATAACGTCATTACAGGATGTGCACCGTGCCCACCAGAGGGAGTATGAAAAATACATGGAGGACATTGAAAGTTCAAAGATGACTGTCCAGGAGTTAGAGAAATCTTCAGAGGCGGCTCTGAATTACAAGTTCTACAGGGCCATGAAGACATATGTAGAAAACTTGATAAACTGTTTGAATGAAAAAGTATGTATATTTTCCTCTTTTTCTTTTTTATGATAGAGGTGCATTCTGTCAACAAAAGATGAGGGGTTTTGTTTGGAAATTGAGGGACAGCACTCAGTTAAGAATCAGTATCAGAAAGTTTAATGTTACAGGAAACAAAATATAGGGAAAACAAATCAACCCTCACCTGCAGCGATGATCAAGCTAGTATAGGTATACTGACTTGAGCTGTGATCTCACCTAGGTTCTGTTGGATGAAAACAAAATGTTATTGGAAGGAGTTTTCTGCAGGTCTAGTAACCAGAGTGCACTGAAGGTGAATGAGAGGTGGCGCTTAAATTCACTTTCGGGATCTTTCAAATGTCTTTACTCAGGGTTACATAACAGAGGGAGTAAGGATTTCATGTTAGGTTCGTGTTGGGATTGAGTTAGCAGAGCTCTGTGAGAATTTGTCTAAGTTATCAGCTGCATCTGTTTCTTGAACTGCAAACCTTGTGTATTTAAAAAGATGAAGACTGGGAGAAGGGAGGAGCCACCTAAAGTTTGGCCTCAGTGAAAGTAAGCTGCTGTTATCCTCTATAGATGGTGCTGTCAAATCTAATTTATGTCACTTAATTGCATTGCAATTGTGAATTTCTTTATGTAACTCTAAAGGGAACAAATGTTAGTTAATGAGTACATTAATGGCTAGCTGCTCAAAAGCAAACTGGAAGCAAACTGAAGTGCACCAATAGTGTCCTGTTGAACTCTTCTGTATGAAGTCTTAGGTAGTTTTGTGATGAACAACTGGCATTTAGTTAGTGTTTTTCAGCCTTACAAAAAAGCCTGAAAAACTCCAATAACCAGGATTTTAGTTTTCAATCTATGATAATTCTAATTTCACGGCTGTACTGAAAATCCATGGAAACTGTTTTTTGTTCATTCTTTTGGGATTTTAATTAATTGAAACCCTGATTACTGTTTACTATATTTTAGCTGAAATACATTAATGATCTAGAAGTGGCTGTACATGTACTTCTTCAGCAACGAGCCATGAGAGTATTGAAGCGAAGGCAAGACGAGCTGAAAAACGAATCTGCTTATATTCAGCATCTGACAAGTTAGTATGAAGTTAGAAGTTATTTTCTTATTGAAACATTCACTCTTTGAGCAGAAATATACAGTTACTTTTTGGATGAAGTTCTTAATTTTCACCTTTGATCTCCTTTCCCCTTCCCATTGTCAGTAGGTGTGCTCTACTATACCTCAATTGAAATCCTTACCTCGGTAAAGCCCATGATGCTATTTTTCTCTGGTTTAATAGTAAACATAACATGACCAAGTACTTTGTCAAATTTTAGTTATTCAAATCAGCAATTTCCCATCAATATTTAAAAAGAAAAACTGAGTGAGTTTTCTAGTAGGTCTTAACTTGGAGAAAGCTCGCTTATTGTGCGATTTTTGTGGATACGTGAAAAAGCAGTGTGTTTGGTTCGCAACAGCACTTTTACATGAGAGTGTCTTCAAGGCTATGTGTGTGCTCAGAATGGAGATTTCAAACTAGGAGGTGACATGTGAAAGGAAGGAGACGAAGCAGCCGTTTTGTGTAAGGGCTTTTATTTAAAACAAAACAGGGTTTTTTCAGTCACTGTAGGAAAAATTATTACAGTTTTCTCATTCTTTCCACACCGATACATTGTTTATATGCCATACGAATCTTTAGCTGCTGCTGTTTAAAAAGAACAACCCAAATCTCCAAACCCTTTAAAACTGTTGAGGCAAAACTAAGAACAGTATGCTTGGAGCTGCTGGGAACAGATGGAGGCCAGATGCACCAGTTTCTGGTAACTACTAATCATATGGGTTCAGTCTTCTCACTACACAGGATAAACTGCTGATTAGAGAAAGCTAGCAGCCTGTATGATTTTGTAAAATTGTGTAGTAGACTGACAGCAGGTGTTAAGAAGAAAAGGGTAGTGCCATAATAGTTGCCATTAAAATGATTTTCCTTCCAGCTCATTACAAACGAGACTGTACTTGAATATTTAACAGCGCTTTTAATTGCTTTTTATGTTCCTAGTTGTATTTAATATAGTAGAAAGGCTTTTTTTTTTTTTTTTTTTACTGTGATAATACTTTGGTAGTGGTACACTTTTTTCTTTTTGGCATGTTGTGCACATATCGGCTAGCTAATAGTGATACAAATGAATAGCCCAACTGGAAAATGCTCCTAGCTTCTACTTCTGTGGGACTCAAGAATCAGAGTAGGGGTAACTGGGGGCACACAGTCAGTGACCACTCAGATAACAGGAGGCAGTGGGGAGCTGACTAGTCTTGAAATCTAAATGCGATGATTTTGAATAGTGTAAATCAGGGTTTTAACTTCCATTACAATGCTGGAATCAAACCTCGAAAGTTATTCTAATTTATTACGTGGTTTCATTTCTGACATATGGGACAAAGGTAGGTCCCTGTGCTTGCCTTTCACACTGCTAAGGACCTACGGTGGAAGCCACTAACTTCTTTTTCCAGGATTGGGAAGCAATGAGCATTGAGTGGAATGTTGTCAAACTCACCTTTTCATCAACTGCTATAAGGGAACAACCACATCTGACTATATGCAGTTAACAAGTAATACTTACTGTGTGTTACTCTGGAGACTGTTAGAGTTTTGATTAGGAGGTTTGATTTTTCTTTGGCTATTTTCCAAATGAAGAATGATAGAAGGAGAATCTGTGTTTCCTGTTTGAGAAAACAGGAACTTTAAAATCATACCATTTTATTTTTGGCTGTTTCTGTCTTCTGATAGGTGGGAATGACAAACCAACTAATGGTGGATTGGAAGGTGATGAGAAGACACAGCTTCTGGAAATGTGCGAACATCGAAGGTAGGTATTATGTATATGTATGCTTAACTCTGATAAATGTGCTGTACGCTGGCTTTCTGTCACTTATGCAGTGATGAATGTAAACTGGTAGGATTACTACATGAGATTATACAAAAAATATGTGTTTGCTTTCCAAAACTCAAAGTACTTGGAAACCATCTATTTTTTAATGTTATTCTCTTCATGTTGATTTGAAACAGAATGCTAATAGATCTTGTTATTTTAAATTAACAAGTCTTAATTGAGGCTATTTATGAAACTATATGACAAAGCCTTTTCTGTCCTGTGGTAAGAAATAAAATTATGACCTTATACAGAAATATATTGTTGTATTATTGTATAGATAGCAAGAAAAGTCAGGCAGTATTGTTGCTGCTAGGGGTGGTGGTGGCGGTGAGTGAAGCAAAGCTGTATCTGCGCCCTCCCCTGCTATCAGTGTAGGCCGGATACTACATTTTGGATATTACAGTGTTCAGAGACTGCTACTGATTTTTTTTTTTTTTTTTCCCCCCAAAGTTATTGGGAGCTTTGAAAGTTTTTCAGTTGCATTGGTGCCTCAACTCAATAACTGTACTTCAAAGTGGCAAGAACTTTGGCATTTTAGTGGATGAAAAATGATACAACAAGAAATTCCACTTGAAGCAGTTAACCTTTATGCTAGTTGATGTAAATAACTGTATGAAATTATTTATACGTATAGTTTTCATATCATGTATCATTTTCCTGTGGCAGAGATGCAAGCTATTGATTTTGCAGCTTGTTATAATTCTTGGTGTCATGGCAATAGTTTTTTGAGCCCAATTGGCACTTGGATGCTATCGCAGTTTTTGTGGGTTGTTGCACAGGTGATCCAGAGCAGAGATGCCAGACTGAGAGCTCAGTAGTCTCCTGTACACTAAAACTGTCAGAGACAGCGGCCAGTACCATGCTAGATGTTTAGTGTTCCAGGTGGGATGAGTTATTAGCCTCATCAGCGGGAATGAGGTGAAGTGAATGTTATCATGTGGTTCATAGGGGAAACCAGAGACATTGCTCTAAGCTATTTTATGTCAGTTCCCAAAGCCTCTCCTTCTTCCACAGTTTCTGTGTCCTTAGGTTTCTTATGCCCTTTCTGTGTCATAATTGCTATTGGTCCTTGATTGCACTTCCTTAGGCTGTTGCTCTCACAACTTGCTTTTAGTACATTTTTTTGAAGTTGGATTATTTTTCGTTAAGCTTCCTTCTGCGTACGAGGGGAGGATAACTCATCTGAGTTCATTACAAAATACAGGACTTGCAGACGGCGAGTGAGAGAGTGTTCAGGAGAAGCTGATCACCGTGAAGGCATGTCAAGTGATGATGAGCTGACTCCGACAGAGGTGACCGAGTTCCAGAAGAGCAAAGGTTGGTGGCAGTCTTATTGTGATGTTATTGTGGTGTCCTAAACCAAAAACCTCCTCCTGATATTTTTCAATGATTTTTTTTTTTTTAGGAAATGTGAAAAAATACTTCATTTGACTTACGTGTTCTTTATCACACACTGTACAAAAGAAATGCAGTCAGGCAGTTCTGACGAATGACTTGGGAAGAATAGGTGTATGGTTGTAGATGTCTTTTGGTATGAGTTATGTGGTGGTGGCATTACATGCGACTCAACTAGAAGTAAGCTCTTTTAGATTATGCCAAAGGTGATCTGACAGTACTCAATGCAATGCTGCAGCGTGTTTTGTATAATCAATTTGTTTTCTGAAGATAGAGTGAATTAAAGGTTGATGTTTTAATTAATTTGAATGAATGGATGAAGAGAAGCAGGGAAAGGTGTAATACCTTTTCTCCAGATAACAGCAGAAGGGTTTTCATGTCTGAAATTTTATCACTGTGGTATAAAGTCTGAAACATAGCGGTTGTGTAAATATGTGGATAGACCATGAAGAAACTTGCCTTTTTGGTCTTCTGACAGTATTTTTTTTTTTTTTTATGAAACTGGGTTTTCCAGGGAGCTGGTTTTAAAACTTGTTTCAGTGTCAGGTGTGTCAAAGATAAATGACAAATGCAATTATCATATAGATATTTCTTATGTCCTATAGATGCATAAACTCTTCAGCTTATGCCTCAATAAGTTCTGTGATTGTTTCTTTTTATTTCCAATGAATATTATCCATAGATAACGTTTTAGAGGATAGTAAGAAAGTCTTTGAAGATGTACATGCAGATTTTTGTGACATCAGAAAAATCCTGTTGAAATTCCAGGAATGGAAAGAGAAGTTTCCTGACTCTTACTGTGATGCTTATATCAGTTTCTGCCTGCCTAAGCTGTTAAATCCGTTGATCAGAGTTCAGTTAATAAATTGGAATCCTCTTGAGGTAGGTGCATCAGCTGAGTTTGTTTTCTTCAAAAATTGTATGTTTATGTATTAATATGAAAAATGAGGTTTTTTCTATGCATGGCACAGTGCATTAGAAATTAATAGAAATATACTCCGTTGGTCTCAGAAATTGAAACGTGATTGGAATCTTCTTAACTTTCTCCTTTCCCCTTCCCTCCAGCCCATTCTGCAACACCCCTTGTAAAAAGAATTCTTCTCTTCAGTTCTTTGAAGGCGCTTTAACAATCCCACCCTGTAAATTTTACCTTTAAATCTAGTTTTCCTGATTCGCTGGTTTGGCCCATTCAGTGATGAGGGTGGATCTGAAATTAAGTGGGAACCTGTGATATCATTAGATGCAGCTTTTCTCTCAATCCTGACCAGCTGAACAACTAACAGGAATGATCTTTTAGCAGAATTTTACAGAGCTGGAAGAGATGCCCTGGTTCAGAGCTGTAGAAGAATTCTGTGATGCTGGAAACGTATCTGAATCAAAAAGGGATGATGATCCTGATCAAGAAGTTTTGCCTAGAGTGATTGAAAAAACTATTCTTCCAAAAATTACAGGTATAGTAAGATTGTTTTGAAAAATGTTCACTGCAGCTAGGCAATCAAACCTTAAATAAAAGCAATAGCTATCAAATAATGTTAGTTATATAATGGTACTCCAAGATGTAGTGATTACGTAGTTCCACAGAGTGAGGCTAAGGTAGCCTCTTTTTAAGATTATTGTGAGAGGCTTAGTTTTTTATATATTTACTTCTGTTACATTGTAATGCCTTGAAACTAGAGCAGATAACTACTTGCAAATTGTGAATGACATAAATTCCTGGTTTTTTTCAGCATTTGTAAAGACTGTGTGGGATCCTTTATCTACTTCACAGACAAAGAACCTGGTACGGCTTTGCAATAACATTTTCGAAAAACAAGTCCTTTCCAAAAGTGAATGCAGTCGAGCAAAAGAGGTAAAAGCTCCTGTGGTACTGGGGAAGGGAGAGCTTCATCCACGGTGTGCGCTTTCTGTGCGTGCTCCTATGGGCGCTTAGAACATTATCCTGAAGTTGTTCAGGTCTGATTACTTGATTGCTTTGTCACTTTATATTACGAAGATTAAACAGTTAAACTTCCAGATCTCTGATGCTCTCATTATTGAAAATGATCAGAGGTGGGACATTCTTGAGGCAGAAATTGCCTCCTGTTCCTAGAAAAATTCTGCCTGTACCTACCAAGAATCTGATCATAGATCTAATCTTGCTTTACCGCAATAACAATGGTTAGAATTTAGATTTGTGTTTAATTATCTTTCAGAATTTGAGCTTTAAATGCTAATAATGCTCCAGTGGTCAACTCCTTAAGCTTTTATTTATAAAGTAGATCTAGAATTTTAAAACTTGAAAATCCCCAAAGGTTAATTAATTGGCTAGGAGAAAGACTACTTCATAATCTTAGCAATCTTTTAATAATTACTTTTATACACATAGTCACTCTAGCATGCCCTTCTTCAGCCTGATTGCGGTTTTATTCTGATGTAAATCTGGAGGTTTACCTAGTCTAAAACTGGTGAAATGCGATGGATGTTTAGGCCCTGAATATCAAAAGAAATATTTTTAAGAAAATGTTTATACCTTCCAACTGAGCCTTCCAAACATTGCTGATTTAAACCCATGCCTTGAAGTCAAGTGGTACAACTGACCTTAGCCAAGATACCGTTTGTACAGAAAGTAAAGTAAACCAGAACTTTAAATAAATTAATTAAAAGGCTTTTTTAAAAAAAAGAAAAGGTAGGTGGCAACCTATGGCACCTAAAAGCACATTGCCTGAAAACGCATACTGTCCTAGCTATGGTGATTTTTTTTCACATAGAATTTCACAGCTTTTTATGGAGATCCTATTGTGCATAACTTATTTTGTTGTTAATGTATACAGTTTTCCTGCTGCCTTGCAAATTAACATGGAAAAAAAGCCCTCACTTGGGGAAGTAACTTCATCTTAAGAAAAAAAAATATCCTCTAGGTTAACTCTATAGATAATTACAGCTGTGATTTGTCTACTGTTTTTGATATATTCATGGTCTCGGTGTGTATTATATACAAGTGGCAACTGTACTTAGCTCTAATAGCATATTGCACTTCTAGACGAACAAAATAACCATTGAAGTTGTTATAAATGGAAGATGAAGTCTTTCTTGTGAGGACACATTAATAATTCTCTTTAAATAGGATTTGATCAACATGGTTGTCCTAAGAATGAAGAAATCTGTAGAGGAAGATGTCTTTATTCCTCTGTATCCTAAAAGGTAAGCTGACTCTGGGACTTGTTTAAACTTTTTTAATTTCTATACCCCTTTTCTCCACAGATGCAGATGAAATATTGTAGACATCCATTAACAGCTAATGGAATAAACATGCCGTCTACTGTTTTATTATAGGAAAGGTTATGAAGCCTTATGCCTGTTTATGAACCCTTTCTAATAAGGGTAACTCTTAATGCTTTTTTGCTCCTGTAACCAAACGCTTCCCAGTATACAAGGTCCACAGTCTGGTTTTAGCATAGCAACTTGTATCTGAGGACCTGTGTTAGTTTAGGTGGCATGGTGTCACGTGTGTGTCCCCCTGATTCCTCTAGTCATTCCTAAAATAGGGTTTATATTGTTGGTGCTTATTACTGGGCCGTATTTCAAAGACGGGAATGAGTAGGGGTCTGGGCGATGTGGGGTTAAGATACAGCTAGGAGAGAAGTTTTGCTAAAGCTGGTGTAGGCTGTTTGGTTCTAAGCAATGCTGGTTTGATCTGAATCCATGATACATAGACACAGGTGTTTCCAATTGCTAATTTTATTGGAACTTATTTCATAGTGGTTGTATTATAATGGATTCCAATTGACAGCTGTTTCCCTAGACCTTTATTCTGATTGTGGCTGTCAGGGCTGAAATAATGCCAGAGTTAACGTTCATCAGTATCTAAGAGACCAGTTGTCTGTTAATTTTCTGTTAAAAGCAAACAAAAAATAAATCCTTATTTTTTCTCTCTTCTTCTTTCCATGGCCAGCACTGTGGAAGACAAATCATCACTATGTTCAAAATTTCAAGAAAGACGGTTTTGGTCAGCTGTTAAGGTAGAGATAATATACCTGCTTTTTTTTTTTCTTTGAAATTCATTTTAATGAAAAAATATTTTGCAGTCAGTCAGGAAATGTATCTTCAGGCAAGTCTGAGTCCTGGGAGATTAATACATTTATATTAGGATGGGTAACCATTTTTCTCAGTGAAGGATGTGTTCTCTGTGCAACCTGCATGGGATGATTTAGGAATGAACTATAAATGAACACTTTATTTCATAGAATCATAGAATCGTCAAGGTTGGAAAAAACCCTTAAGATCATAGAGTCCAACTGTCAACCTATCACTGCCAAGTCCATCTATATCATGTCTTCAAGCACCACATCTATCCGTTCTTTAAATACCTCCAGGGATGG